TCCACGGGGTGCCATGCACCAGGGGCCGTGCTGGGCGCACTCCGCCACGCCGGTCGGGGCGGGATGGCGGAGTTCAACGAGCGGCGGCGGCGGCTCTGGCGAGGAGGGTGCCAGAAACCCTTAAAGCCATTTGGCCAAATTACGCGAGGCCACGTAACCCCCCACTCCCTGCTGTGACAGAGAGATAACGCTCTCAGCCGAAGTTGGAAAGTCCGCTGCTCGCGAGTGACATTTGACGACATCACGCTCCTTCGGTTGAATGGAAGATCGCTACAGGGAGGTCACTCATTCTTCTCTGGAATTCCCCCCTGCCCCCCCAGACACTCGTGCTGTCTGCTCCCTGTCTCTATTCAAGTCCAGGCTCAAGTCCTCGCTCTCCTCTTCCACCTGAGATCGACTGCCTCTCTCTGTCTATGAAGTCAACATTCCCACTGCTTCTGTAGAACATCAGTGAGACGCAATCGCATTTATACATCACTGTATACATCCATATTCTATTGGAATGTTCATACACACAGAGACCCGTAGACTTACACAGACTGCCTCTCTCTACAAAACAGCTGTGCCCACTGATTCTATGGGTCGATGGGATTTGCACGCAATAGTCATGCACATTGTTTTATTTCATTGCCTGTGCTCTCGCCTGGCCGAGTTTATATTATTCTCTTTCATTAACCAGGATTCCTAATCTTGTCACAAAGCCAGGAGCCATCCTGCCCGTGTAGCTACATGATAAGAGCCGATTGCCCTGTGGGTTTTTTGGGTGCAATCTTGGCGGGCGGTGGGGCGCGGTGCTCTGCGGGCACCTGCCCAGGGGTCTGTGTTGGCACCCTCAAATTTAGTTCGAGGTCCACTTTTGTGGCCGCGTTTGGGAACGTCCGCTGGGTGACTCCGCGTCCGCTGGAGGAGTGAGCACCAGCGGCACCGGTAGCAAACCTATTCCCATCGCCACAACCACCACCGCTATCCACCATCGCCACTAAGTGACGGTGATGTCACCACGGTGCCTGTGCCAGACTACCATCACCACCACTACCGTGACCACCGTGACAACCACCACGACCATACCAGCAATGCCAGGACCACCGCCTCTACCACTTTCGTCAACATCAACATCACCATCACCACCACCATCACCGCTAGGACAACGACCATGCACGTTGCTACCACTACCACCACGATCACCACTACCATCACCACCAGGCCCAGCTTGGTAATGCGTGGGGCAGCGACGGTGGCACTTGCATCGGGCCTGGTCTCGTCTGAAGTGGCGTGCGCCGTCTCGGCCCGTCTGGCCGCCGTGATGAGTTATTCATGTTCTGAGGCCCCACCATTTACCCCGGTCTGGGCGAGGGGAGGGGGAACATGCCCAGTCCCCCTACACCCCTCCAGCCCTTGACCGCCTCCTCCCTATCTACATCACTTGGAATGTTTCCTTCTCCCCGGCAATTTTTTTAAAAAATCTAAATGAAACCGGGTGCAGTGGAGCACGGTCGCAGGACTGGCCCCACAGCTCTCTCGACATAAAAACGGGCATTGAAGATTAAAGATTCAAAGTGATGCTCAGAGCGCTTTAAGAAGCTTCCCCTGCAGGAGACGCAGTGTCCGTGCCACCGTTAGCAAGGACGAACGCGGCAGCGCCCGGCAAGCCGCCTCTTCTCCATCGCCAGCACCCACTCTGCCCACGACGCCGCACTCCGGCATCACACTCCGGCATCGCTCTCCGGCATCGCTCTCCGGCATCGCACTCCGGCATCACACTCCGGCATCGCACTCCGGCATCGCACTCTGGCATCACTCTCCGGCATCGCACTCCGGCATCGCACTCCGGCATCGCACTCCGGCATCGCACTCCGGCATCACTCTCCGGCATCACTCTCCGGCATCACACTCCGGCATCGCACTCCGGCATCGCTCTCCGGCATCACTCTCCGGCATCGCTCTCCGGCATTGCACTCCGGCATCACACTCCGGCATCGCACTCTGGCATCGCACTCCGGCATCACTCTACGGCATCGCTCTCCGGCATCGCACTCCGGCATCACACTCCGGCATCACACTCCGGCATCGCTCTCCGGCATCGCACTCCGGCATCACACTCCGGCATCACACTCCGGCATCACACTCCGGCATCACACTCCGGCATCACACTCCGGCATCACTCTCCTACATTGGTGCTCGCTAACAGCACTTACCCCGAAAGTCTGTTGAGACTATACGGTGAATCGCGGCCTTTGTGTGTGGGGAGCGGTAGTGCAGTGCTAAGCATGTTGCGTTACGAACCCGGCGACCCGAGTTCGATTCCCGATCACAGCACCAACACCAGTGACGATTATCTGAACCAGTCCTGGGCCTCCCCTAAGTAGATTCAGCCTCAAATGAGTACCCGGTGAGGTGCACAAACATCGCCACAAAGGAGACAAAGGCGGCCGGGCGTGGTGCTGGCCACCCACCCCCTCATACGCAGTGTCGGCCTCGTAGATGCTGCTCGTTAACAGCACTTGCCCCAAAAGTCAGTTAAGGCTATAGGGGGGATCTGTGTCTTTGTTTGTGTTTGCGTGGGAGGGTGTGTTTAAAGGCAGCCATGGAGAAGAGAGTTGAGTCACTTAGTACTCTGCGCTCCGTATCCCGCAGCCTGGGTTTGATTAATCTCCACAGCCAACATCAGTGGCGAATAATATCTGAACCGCTTCTGAGCCTATCCTAGATCGACTCGGCTTTATTGGGTGCCTAGTGTGGTCTGTAATCATAAGCAATGGGGAGACAAAGGCGGCCTGGTGTTGTTTCTGGCCACACCACCCCCTGATTCACCTTAATAGGCGCTTACGGGTAGAGCATCACCAGCGGTGTGTGCGGATGGCTACGTGGGGGTCTCTGTGTGCGGGGGAACACGGGTGCAGGATTAACACACACACACACACACCTGAGACGATGGTGCGGGAGGGTGCGTGTGTGCGACGAGCGGTCGTACAGAGTGATTAGGACGAGTGACGTTGCCGAGTGTCACCCTGTGAGCGCTGTGTCACCCCGTGAGTGATGTGTCACCCCGTGAGTGATGTGTCACCCTGTGAGTGATGTGTCACCCCGTGAGTGCTGTGTCACCCCGTGAGTGATGTGTCACCCTGTGAGTGCTGTGTCACCCCGTGAGTGATGTGTCACCCCGTGAGCACTGTGTCACCCTGTGAGTGCTGTGTCACCCTGTGAGTGCTGTGTCACCCTGTGAGTGCTGTGTCACCCCGTGAGCGCTGTGTCACCCTGTGAGTGCTGTGTCACCCTGTGAGTGCTGTGTCACCCCGTGAGTGCTGTGTCACCCTGTGAGTGATGTGTCACCCTGTGAGTGCTGTGTCACCCCGTGAGTGCTGTGTCACCCTGCGAGTGCTGTGTCACCCCGTGAGCGCTGTGTCACGCCGTGAGTGATGTGTCACCCTGCGAGTGCTGTGTCACCCTGTGAGTGCTGTGTCACCCTGTGAGTGCTGTCACCCTGTGAGTGATGTGTCACCCTGTGAGTGATGTGTCACCCCGTGAGTGCTGTGTCACCCTGTGAGTGCTGTGTCACCCTGTGAGTGATGTGTCACCCTTTGAGTGATGTGTCACCCCGTGAGTGATGTGTCACCCTGTGAGTGCTGTGTCACCCCGTGAGTGATGTGTCACCCCGTGAGTGCTGTGTCACCCCGTAAGTGATGTGTCACCCTGTGAGTGCTGTGTCACCCTGTGAGTGATGTGTCACCCTGTGAGTGCTGTGTCACCCCGTGAGTGCTGTGTCACCCCGTGAGTGCTGTTACCCTGTGAGTGCTGTGTCACCCCGTGAGTGATGTATCACCCTGTGAGTGCTGTGTCACCCCGTGAGTGATGTGTCACCCCGTGAGTGCTGTGTCACCCCGTGAGTGCTGTGTCACCCCGTGAGTGATGTGTCACCCCGTGAGTGATGTGTCACCCCGTGAGCGCTGCGTCACCCCGTGAGTGATGTGTCACCCTGCGAGTGATGTGTCACCCCGTGAGTGCTGTGTCACCCCGTGAGTGATGTGTCACCCTGCGAGTGATGTGTCACCCCGTGAGCGCTGTGCCACCCCGTGAGTGCTGTGTCACCCTGCGAGTGATGTGTCACCCCGTGAGCGCTGTGTCACCCCGTGAGTGCTGTGTCACCCTGCGAGTGATGTGTCACCCCGTGAGCGCTGTGTCACCCTGTGAGTGCTGTGTCACCCTGTGAGCGCTGTGTCACCCCGTGAGTGCTGTGTCACCCTGTGAGTGATGTGTCACCCCGTGAGTGCTGTGTCACCCCGTGAGTGCCGTGTCACCCTGTGAGTGATGTGTCACCCTGCGAGTGATGTGTCACCCTGCGAGCACTGTGTCACCCTGTGAGTGATGTGTCACCCCGTGAGTGCTGTGTCACCCCGTGAGTGCTGTGTCACCCTGTGAGTGATGTGTCACCCCGTGAGTGCTGTGTCACCCTGTGAGTGCTGTGTCACCCTGCGAGTGATGTGTCACCCCGTGAGCGCTGTGTCACCCCGTGAGTGCTGTGTCACCCCGTGAGTGCTGTGTCACCCCGTGAGTGCCGTGTCACCCTGTGAGTGATGTGTCACCCCGTGAGTGCTGTGTCACCCCGTGAGTGCCGTGTCACCCTGTGAGTGATGTGTCACCCTGCGAGTGATGTGTCACCCTGCGAGCACTGTGTCACCCCGTGAGTGCTGTGTCACCCCGTGAGTGCTGTGTCACCCTGTGAGTGCTGTGTCACCCTGCGAGTGCGTCATAGCTGGGTCTAAACCTTCCTGGCCGCGGCTGTGCCGTGCACAGCTCTTCGCTGTGTGTTTGGGTTATACCTTGCTTTGTTTGGCATGACATCCGACGATTAAGTCCGGCCCCCAAACAAACTAAAAGAAAAAACAATCTATCCCTCCCTTCCACCCTATCTCACACTCCCTTACCGGTCTCACCCTGACCTTCCACGTCACCCCCCTGAACCCATGCCCCCCACCCTGCCCCCCCCAACTCCCGTCCCGCAGCGCAGTAACGGCGAGGACGTTCCCATGACGAGCACCAAGATGGTGAACCACCGCCGCTTCTCCGCCTCCTTCGACATCCGCCGCGCACGCAAGCGCGACGCCGACAAGTACCGCTGCGTGGTGCGCTCTCCCGACGGCTCCGGGGTCTCCAACTTCGCCGAACTCTTCGTCAAAGGTGCGGCGCCGTTGGGCGGGCGGGGTTCGCGGACGACGCATGGGTTTTGGTATCCAGGAGACCGGAGCGTCCACGTAGCTGGTCGTGGGTCGTGCCGTTTCGGCGAGAGGAGCCGGCAGGAGGGCCGGGCAGTGCCGGGGGTGGAAATTGATCGGTGGGTGTGGAGATTGGTAGGTGCAGCTCACGTAGTTTTGCGTGGACAGCTAGTTGTGCGATTTGTCTGAAGATGCGAGGGATGAGTGTCGGCGGGGAGACGGCCGGCTGGCTGCACGGTGGCTCCGGGTAAATACGAGGAGGCTGACGCGGGTGGGCGGGGGGCGGGGGGGGGGGGGGGGGCGGGGGGGGCTGCGTTGAGTCGCGCCCATCTGGCGACGCCCCCGATCCTCCCCCGGCAGCCTCCTGCTCCTGCTCGGCGCTGGCATTTCAGGAGGGAGCCAATTACAGGCGGCTTTCATGACATAATTATGGCTGGCATCTGACATTTGGAAATTAAAGATGCCACATGCCTGCACCATTGTAAAATATACATATTAGTTGCTGTTTTTGTGTTTACTTTCTACCGTTTAAATGTGTTCATAAAAATATATATTTATATTTCTTATCCTTGTATTCTCAGCGCAACTTTTGAATGAGATTAAGAGGCAATTTTGCGAATGTCCTTTCAAGTTGATGTGTTTGTTTCTCTTAATCAAGTACATTGCAACTGGTAAACAGCCGTGTTGACATGACACATCGTGCTCCAATACCAGGCACACCACACCATACCGACTGGTCACACCACACCATACCGACCGGTCACACCACACCATACCAACTAGCCACACCACACGATACCGACTGGTCACACCACACCAGCCATACCATGCATCACACACCAGGCACACCACACTACGTCTCGCACCCATCGCGTGTTCGCTGATGACAAGGACACAGAGACGGTTGATGTTGTTTATTTTAAACGCGTGTGCGTGAGTGCCGGTGCGTATTCTTGTGCGGGTAATAGTTTTCTTGAAAGTGGCACGTGGTCCGTAACCACGGCCAATCCTGCCGATCGCCGCGCGTGAGGCCGGCGGCCAAGACCAGCACGGGAGCGGCAGCCAAAGGGCGGAATCCGCCCAGGGAGGATGACCGCCGCGTAGATGGAGCGACGAGATCAGGGAGCCAACGTCGCGAGATTGTGAGGGAGAGAATGGCGACGGCCTCGGGAGAGGACTTCATCCGGCAGCGGATAGATCCTGACAGTCGGAGGGTAGTGGCGGTTTGGGGGGGTTGTGGAGGGGGCGGCCTCTGGTCCGCACCGCGGCCGTCACCACCACAGTTGCTGCCAGCGGCCATTACCGTTATCGTGAGTGGAGCAGCGCAAGTTGACAAAACCACTCGCTTGGGATCGCTGTGGAGAGCCCTGGAGCAGATGTCCTGTCCCACGATCCCCGTCCCACGATCCCCGTCCCACGATCCCCGCCCACGATCCCCGTCCCACGATCCCCGTCCCACGATCCCCGTCCCACGATCCCCCGTCCCACGATCCCCGTCCCGCGATCCCCGTCCCGCGATCCCCGTCCCGCGATCCCCGTCCCGCGATCCCCGTCCCGCGATCCCCGTCCCGCGATCCCCGTCCCACGATCCCCGTCCCACAGCCCCGTCCCACAGCCCCGTCCCACAGCCCCGTTCCGCGGCCTTGTCCCTGCCCCATGGCTCTGTCCTGCTTCGTCGCAGGGCTTCCGTGGTATCTGAGGGCGCGCGAGCGAGGGATGGAGAGGCCCTTTGGCTCTAATCGCTGTGGCATCGGGGCCATTGGCTGTCTCGTGACAGTCGTTGGTGGTGGTGGTGGTAACGATTGGAGGGCAACGTTGGACATTGCAACGCAAGGTGCGACCCCGATCAAATCAGTGGGATCACATCAGTGGGAATGGATCAGTGGGATCACATCAGTGGGATCGTATCAGTGGGATCACATTAGTGGGATCGGATCAGTGGGATCACATTAGTGGGATCGGATGGGATGGGGGAGCTTGAGCTACGCACCTGATAGAGATGTTTGCCAGGAGAGAGATGTTTGTGCAGAAGAGATGTTTGTGTGGGAGTTTGCGTGGGAGAGATATTTGTGCAGGAGAGATGTTTGTGTGGGAGAGATGTTTGCACGGGAGAGATGTTTGTGTGGGAGAGATGTTTGTGTGGGAGAGATATTTGTGTGGGGGAGATGTTTGTGTGGGAGAGATATTTGCGTGGGAGAGATGTTTGTGTGGGAGAGATGTTTGTGCAGGAGAGATATTTGTGTGGGAGAGATGTTTGTGTGGGAGAGATGTTTGCGTGGGAGAGATGTTTGTGCAGGAGAGATATTTGTGCAGGAGAGATGTTTGCGTGGGAGAGATGTTTGTGTGGGAGAGATGTTTGTGTGGGAGAGATGTTTGTGCAGGAGAGATGTTTGTGTGGGAGAGATATTTGTGCAGGAGAGATGTTTGTGTGGGAGAGATGTTTGCGTGGGAGAGATGTTTGTGCAGGAGAGATGTTTGTGTGGGAGAGATGTTTGTGCGTGAGAGATGTTTGTGTGGGAGAGATATTTGTGCAGGAGAGATGTTTGTGTGGGAGAGATATTTGTGCAGGAGAGATGTTTGTGTGGGAGAGATGTTTGCGTGGGAGAGATGTTTGTGCAGGAGAGATGTTTGTGCAGGAGAGATGTTTGTGCGGGAGAGATGTTTGTGCGGGAGAGATGTTTGTGTCGGAGAGATGTTTGCGTGGGAGAGATGTTTGTGTCGGAGAGATGTTTGTGTCGGAGAGATATTTGCGTGGGAGAGATGTTTGTGTGGGAGAGATATTTGCGCGGGAGAGACAGTCGCTTGAAGGGGTTAACGGATCGGCAATGCAAGGGAGCGCACATTTTTTCGCGGAAGAGAAAATCAGCGAATTAGATTTTGTGGTGGCGACAGCGGCAGCCAGATTAACGAGCACCTGCTAAGCCCTGATTCTGCGCGGTTCCGGCAACGCAACTAACCGCCTCCTGGCTTATCGTCACCACGTCGGTGCTTTTACCCACAGAGCGCGGCGCGAGCGTTGGAGCGGAGCGCCAGGAGAGAGAGAGAATGTGTTGTGTGGCGGCGTTGACGGTGGACGGCGGCTCTCGGTCGAGACTAACGACGGAGCGCGAGCCAAAGCAGGGAATCGCTCTGAGTGGTCACCCACCCCCCCCCCCCCCCCCCCGGCGGTTGTGTCGATGAGATCGACTCTTCGTAGATGACTTCATCCAGCAGTGGCTCGACCCGGGCTGATGATAATGATGGTGAAGGTGTCTCGAATAGCAACACAACATTATACGATTGGACGGTCAGGGGGATAGAACAAACGGAATTTATGTCTCTACTGTGGATGGAATGCGTTAAAAAGGAATTGGTCGAATATCCCAATGCAGGACACTGCCGATAATGGCCACATGTAATTGCCCTAATCTCGCCACGTGGAAAATTATACAAATTACATTCACAGAACCACGTGCATTTACCATCACTGTTGTTGTACGTATATATGTAAAATAATTTCACACCGTACATAGCCAACCATGCTATATGTACGGTTGGCCACGTATGGTTGACGTTGAGAGGTAAAGGCACAGCCCTGCAATTTCTCGCTCATGCCCCGACCGCCAGAAGGGCCTCCGCTCAAGGGAGCTCTGGAGAGCAGGGCAGGGGGTGTTGTTGGCCCTCTCTTTCACACGACTCGGAAGAACATGTGGGAGTTACCTACCCACACGCGATCTGCCGACTGACTGAATGCAGCGATCCCATTGTATACTGTTCTGTGGAGAGGGGCGGTGGGGGAGGGGTATTCAAGATGCGTTCCCCGTTCCTTTGAACCAGCGCTGACCATCACAGCCCGGCAGCAGCAGCAGGCCCTCTGTAAAACACCGTGAACTCGAGGTTAATCTTCTTTCTCTCCGCTGTGTTCCCCGCGCGTGCGGGCTCTGCCTTGCTACTCTGATTTTTCCACTCGCTCTGTCCTGGGCCATCATCTCCACGTCCACTCCACGGGGGAGGGGATGGGGGGGCGGATTTGAGAAAACCTGCACCATTATTTGAACCGCCGCGCCGGGAGACGAAATCGAACTGGCGGCCCCTGGATTGGCAGTCCGGCGCACGCTGATAACCGTTACGCCACAGCAGCAGCAGCAGCAGCAGCCCCGCTCTTTGTTGTCGTTCTTATTATCGTGAAAAAAGAAAATACAATCTGGGGAAACAGAGGCGGAGGCGGTGGAGGCGCTTGGGAAACGAGGCGCTCTGCCGGGTGCGGCGATGCTCTCTGCGTGGAGCCGCCGCTCACTCGCTCACTCGCTCTCCGCGCCACTCTGATTTATTGGAAAGCGTTTTTTGCGTTCATTAGGCGGCCGCTATTGACCCACGCACTACGCAGCGCGGGCTCCCTGACTTGCACGCACGGTGCCCCCGCCAGCAAACAACGACAGCAACAACGGATCTCCTGATATCAGTCATTGCTCACTGTGCACAGAGCGAGAGCGTGGGGCTGGTGCGCGTGTAGGGGTGTGTACGGGCGTGGTGATGCCCACCCACCCCCTCGTGCGCCGTGCCGGCCTTCATCGGTGCTGCTCACTCAAAACATTTGCCCCAACAGTCCGTTGAGGCTAAACGGGGGAAATTTGTTTTTGTGCGTAAGTGTGCGTCTAAGCGTGTGTAAGTGTGCGTGGGTAAGTGCGTGCGTGAGCAGGTTTGTGTGTAACTTGACTGTCACGGGGAACGCGTTTGGGCTGCGTGGCGTGAGGGCGAGCGACGCTCATGCACGCCTCTCTTGTGTCGCGCAGAGCCGCCGGCGCCGGTGGCCCCGCCGCAGCTGCTGGGCGTGGGAGCGACATACCTGTGGATCGCACTCAACGCCAACTCCATCCTGGGAGACGGCCCCATCGTCGTCAAGGAGGTGGTCACCGCACGGAGACATCGCCAACGCTACCACCACTACCACCACTACCAACACCACTTCCAACACCATTAACACCACCACTACCACCACCACCAACAACACTGAAACCACTACCACCAATGCTGAAACCACCAACACCAGCACCACTACGACAACGACTTCCACCACCACAACCAACAACACCAACATTAATACCAACAACCCCTCACTCTAATCCTGAGCAACAATATGATATCACATTAGGCTTACCCCGAACCCTAAGCCCGCTAGCCAACAGACACTAGCCCTGACCCAAACCCTAACCCTACTAGCCCTGACCCAAACCCTAACCCTACTAGCCCTGACCCTAACCCCACTAGCCCTGACCCAAACCCCACTAGCCCTGACCCTAACCCTACTAGCCCTGACCCAAACCCTAACCCCACTAGCCCTGACCCAAACCCTAACCCTACTAGCCCTGACCCTAACCCCACTAGCCCTGACTCTAACCCTATTAGCCCTGACCCTAACCCTACTAGCCCTGACCCAAACCCTAACCCCACTAGCCCTGACCCAAACCCCACTAGCCCTGACCCTAACCCTACTAGCCCTGACCCAAACCCCCCTAGCCCTGACCCTAACCCCACTAGCCGTGACCCTAACCCTACTAGCCCTGACCCAAACCCCACTAGCCCTGACCCTAACCATACTAGCCCTGACCCTAACCCCACTAGCCCTGACCCAAACCCTATTAGCCCTGACCCTAACCCCACTAGCCCTGACCCTAACCCCACTAGCCCTGACCCTAACCCCACTAGCCCTGACCCAAACCCCACTAGGCCTGACCCTAACCCCATTAGCCCTGACCCTAACCCCACTAGCCCTGACCCTAACCCCACTAGCCCTGACCCTAACCCCACTAGCCCTGACCCTAACCCCACTAGCCCTGACCCAAACCCCACTAGCCCTGACCCTAACCCCACTAGCCCTGACCCTAACCCTACTAACCCTGACCCTAACCCTACTAGCCCTGACCCAAACCCCACTAGCCCTGACCCTAACCCTACTAGCCCTGACCCTAACCCTACTAGCCCTGACCCAAACCCCACTAGCCCTGACCCTAACCCCACTAACCCTGACCCTAATCCCACTAGCCCTGACCCTATAAAGAGATGAACACCGAGTCACGCTGGACGGCACCACCCCAGCTGCGCCACCCATCCCTCGGCCGCTGCGGTCACCGCTTCCCCTCGCTTTGCCCCCTCTACACTACACTCTCTGACCCCGCGACCCCGCGACCTGGCGTCCCCCAGGTGGAGTACCGCATGCCGCAGGGCGCGTGGGCGGAGATCCACCCGGTGGACACGGCGACGTACAAGCTGTGGCAGCTGGACCCCGACACGCAGTACGAGGTGCGCGTGCGGCTCACGCGGCCCGGAGAGGGCGGCGCCGGCCGCCCCGGGCCCCCCCTCATCGCCCGCACCAAGTGCGCAGGTGAGGACGACGCGGTGCCCCCCCCCGCCCCCGCTTCCCGCTGCCCCCGACCGCCCCCCACCAACCCCCAACCATCCCCGGGCCACCAGGCTGGAAACTTGTCGCAAAGCTTCAGAATTCCGGTGTCCGCCGCGGTTCGCCCCATGGCGCGTATCGACCGCGCCCGCGCTGCGCGCCCATCGGCTCCACAGTGGACGTCAAGGACGCTGTGACGTCACTGGCAAGAGTTGGCCGCTGTGTGCCGACGCCAGGGTCCAAATTTGCCAACTTTCAAATCTCGCCCCCTACTCGCAGATCAATGCCCCAGGTCACCTTTGCAACTGAGACTCCTCCTTTTCTCCTCACCTGGTTGAGCAAAGTCAAATAATGAAACTGATCCATTCCAGGATTGTCCCCTTGCTGAGGAGGCAGCTGATGTCCTGGGGAAGCTGTCAGTGTCCAGGTCGTTCCTTCGTTTCGTCACAACAACGACGACAACGCCTCTGCTCGAAGCAACGCATCCCCCCGTGGCGCTCCCCTCTCCTGGTGCCGCGAGAGCGCCCCTCTTCTTCCGCCCGTGATGCGTCGCGTTCTTTGTAGCTCGGCGGTGATGACCGTATCACCTGGGAACCGGCGGCGTAGTCTCCACCCCCGCACCTCGTCGTCATTGTCGTCGTCCGTGATGCGTCGGTGTCTTTCCATGGAGCGTGCACGGCCAGTGGTGGTGGCGGCGGCCTTGGGGCCCCCATTTGGGGCCGTAGGGACTCCCAGAGGCTCTAGGAGAGAACCAGGACCTGGGAGAGAACCACGTGGCCTCGGCCGGCACCTCGTGAGTTCTTCGCCGGTTTTCGCCGTAGCTTCCTTCTCCACAATTGATTGCCTTGGCGACTGATTACAAAGTGGATGATCGTTTACTTGTGATTAAAGGTTAAAATGGCGCGATTGTCTAAGTGCGTCTCTCTCACGCGTGTGTGAGGGTGCGTGCGCGCGCTGTGCGAGCCATCATAGGTGTTCGCGAACAGAACTTGCCCCAACAATATGTTGAAGCTATTTAGGGGAGTTGAGAGCGAGCATCACGCAATGACAGCACGTTCAAGACTTCACCAGGCCGTGTGAGTGCTGCTGCTGCTGCTGCTGTTGCTGAGGATGATGCCAATGTCATCCATGACTCTGCCTGTGTTTGTGACGTTGCTATTGATCGTCGTGTTCACAGCGAGGGGGCTATTTATGAACATTACCAATGGTTCTGCTGATAATTATTGATGGTGCTGCTGATGATGATGTTGACATTGATGGTGCTGCTGATGATGATGTTGACATATGTGGTGGTGGTGGTGATGATGGTGATGACGACGATGACGTTAATCTTGCCGCCACTGCTGCTGCCGGTACTGATGATGGCGCCCAGAATAAGGGATCGAGTCACCGCTGCTGCTCGTTTCCTTAGCGACAAATGAGGCTTCGCATTTGGGTGGCAGCACCCCCCTCGAGAGGATGGCGAGTCACATCTAAACCATCTGGGCCTCCCCTAGGTCGACTCGGCCTTAAATGAGCACCTGCTACTTTGTGTCGACAGCGGAATTGGCGGCCGTGCGTATTGCTGGCCACACTCCACCGCCTCGTTTTCGTTGAGAGCACTTGCCCCAAGAGTCTATGCAGGCTAAACGGGGGATCTTTGTCTTTGTTGTGCGATAACAGTCTGCAGACGGCTCCACTCATTGCCTTTGTTTGGCGGTTCCTATGCAACTGTCATTAGTCGAGCGCTGTAAGATTAAACGTGCAGTCCTTAATATCGGCTCCTCAACAAAATAACACGTATCTCGCTTCGGAATTTAATTAAAATTAGGCGCTGCCGCCGCTGATATCAATAATTGGGAATTGACGAGTGCAGGATAATCCCAGAGAAGGGAAATGAAGGCAGTGCCCCACGGTCCGACAATGCGGTGGGTGGCACGGCGATGCAACGTGAATCAGTTGCCTCCGGCGCAACAGAGGAGGAGGAGGGTGAGAGCAGTGGAGCTCATCTCGGGCCCTCGCAGAGTCTCGGAGCGCCCCGGAGGGAAGTCGGCTGACGTGGCCCCGGGGCCTGCGGCTTGAGAACAGAGGGGAGGGCAGGAACCACGTGGGGCGAATGAAGGCGATGAAAGCGATGGACGTGGAAGCGCCAGGGCCGAGATTGAGAGGCAGGGTCTACAAAGAGGTGGATCGGAGAGGTGAACCACGATGTGAAGGACTTGCGGAGTGAGCGGACGTCGAGATGATGGCCTAGGGCGGGCGCGGGTGGAGGGAGGGGCAGGACGGCACAGCCCCCGTGATGAGCGAGAATAATGACAGGAAGAGAGAGATGAGGATGAATGTAGATTGGGTTGCAGAGATGGGGTGCTGCTGCTACTGCTGTGGTGTGATGGTCAGCTCGCTGGAGTTGCAATGCAAGAAGTCACCGGTTCTATCTCCCGACGTGGCAGCTTGAAATGGTGGCGCAAGCTTCTTAAATAACCGCCGCCTCTGTCGTCCCAGCAGTACGAATGGGTTCACACCCAAGTCAGTCGACCGGCGGCAGGTCGCGTGCGGTGGGGTAAAGTGTGGGCATCCCCACCTCCTTCAAGATGGCTTTGCCAGTGTGGACGAGTTAACCTCTCTCGACGGGTTTGCTCCAGCTGTCTGGGAGGTGGAGCCCTTCCGCCAATGGTGGAGCGAGCACTTGCAGGGCCGCGCCTTTACCTTTCGTGGCCAAGCGAGAGGGTGGGGAGCATGCCACGGGTAGTCCAGCGGATGACCACAATGTACAGATGTGGTTTGGGAAAGTTCCAACGTTTAATTCGTTTTTGATGGGCTTTGCTCTCCCCTCTGAATTTACATCGCGGAGAGTGAGCGCGGGCAAGAGGGAAGAGAGGGAGAGCGGAGCTGTGGAGGTCGAGTGGGTGGGAAGCGAAATGTTGGCTTGCGAGTGTGTGTGGCACATGCGTGCGTTTTGCATATTGCGCGTGTGCGCGTGTGCGCGTGTGTGCGTATGCGCGTGTGTGCGTGTGTGTGTGTGTGCGTGTGTGTGTGTGTGCGCGTGTGTGCGTGTGTGTGTGTGTGCGCGTGTGTGCGTGTGTGCGTGTGTGTGCGCGTGTGTGCGTGTGTGTGCGCGTGTGTGTGTGTGTGTGCGTGTGTGCGTGTGTGTGTGTGCGTGTGTGTGTGTGTGTGCGTGTGTGTGCCCTCGGCACTTGTCAGTGTGTGTATTGCAGTTAGCGCTGCGCTACGAACCCGGCGACCCGTTGACAATTATCTGAACCGCTCCTGGCCCTCCCCTAGATCGACTCGGCCTAAAATTAGTACCTGGTGCGGTGTTTAAACATCGCCACTGAGGAGACAATTGCGGCTGGTCGTGGTGCTGGCCACCCACCCCCTCGCTGACAGGAATTGCCCTAACATTCTGTTAAAGGGACCTTTGCCTTTTATTTACACACACACACACGTGTCTTCGCTGTGTATATATCTGTAGGCACGCAGGCCGGCGCGTGTGTCTGTGTTGCCCGTTCAGTGAGACACAGAAGTTAATCAACAGCTCTGGGAGAACGAAAAACCAATTATCGCGTCGATTCTCGCCGCTGCGCTGTTGCCAATCATCGCACGAGTTCGACTCCCGGTGCGGGCGTGAGTCTGGGAGAGATTTCAGATCCTCCCTCCCTCCCCCTGTCCCACAAGCACCACGCGGGGGGGGGGGGGGGGGTTATAAGCAACACAGACGGAGCTGGCTTCACGAATCCTGGCAGATTTGGAGTTATTTGTGCGTAAATCTGACAAATTGGCCTGCGTTGGAGCGATAGCTGCTCGTCACCGACGCGTGGCTGCTCGTGCTCACCACCAGAGGTCCGCACGCGGCGTGTGGGTCTCAGCGCCCTTCTTAGACGCCTTCTCTTCATGTGATGTGTGTCTGTGTGTGTGGTGCATCAGCCAGTCATCTTAGTCGACCCGTGGCACCTGGGTCTGTCCCGTGACTTCCTTCCAGCAGGCGTTCGACACTTCATTTGGCCTTTAAGTGCACATGGCCTGGCACAGACGCCGTGGTGACGTCACCGACACTCAGTGGCGAATGTCGGTTGTTGTTGTTGTCTGTGTGTATGATGTGTGTATCTGTGTGCGTGATGTATGTGTCTTTGTGCGTGATGTGTGTGTCTGTCTGTGTGTGTGACATGTGTGTGGCTGTGTGTCTGTCTTTGTGTGTGTGGAGTGGTAGTGTAGCGGTTAGTGAGCTGCGCCACGAAACCCAGCGACCCGAATTCGATTCCCGCACATGGTCAACACCAGTGACGCTGATCTGAACCGGTCCTGGGCCTCCTCACCTGCTGCGGTGTGTAGACATCGCCGCTTGGGGGACACAGGAAGTCAGGCGTGGTTGCTGGCCATCCAGCCCCGAGTGTGCCGTGCTGGCCTTCATAGGTGCTCGCTAACAGCACTTGCCCTAACAATCTATGTGTGATCCACCAAACCCTTCCTCGAAAGTGTGTGTATGTATTTATGTTTTTACTCAATTGGGGTCACCCCAGAAATCATCGCCCCCTCTTTGGCAGAACTGATGCCCGCTTGAAGGCCATGTGCCACGTCACCTTGTGGCATTATTTCCGTGTAGGGATAGCAATGCAAGTCGCGCGCTGGTCTCGCTATCAAGCACAGCTCGATAGAGAGCCCAGCGCCAGGTGGTGACCCACGTGTTCCTCTTCCTGTCTCTCATCACAGTTCCCAGCGTGCACCTTTCCGTGCTTCTCTGCGCATCGCGATCAAGACGCCACCACGGCTCCCCGTCGCTTGCTCATTGTTGTTCGACACGATGTCCCACGTCTCGCTGCAGGATTACACATCCTGCAGCAGCAGAACAATCGAAATAACCGACGCAAGCAGCAGAATCAATCGTACGCCTTCTGTCTCCGTCATTGTCATCATCGTCGTCGTGGTCGGTGATGTCTCGAGCTGCCGCCGCCGCCGCGAGTTGCTGCCTTACGAGTCGTTTGCCGTGGGCTGAGAAGCGCCCCGAGGGA